GGTTCCAATGATTAATAATTAGAAAAACTGTTGGAAAAATGTTGGAATTTGGGGTGTCAAAAAATAAAATAATCTCTAAGTTACAACCTAAATCCACATTTCAATAACTATTTTAACATTCAGACATCTCATGTGAGGTTCATAAAACTCCATATAAGACCATGACTCAAATCATTGGGAAGTCCTGCTTAAGGTCTTCCAGAAGCCTATTTGTTCTGAATTTATGTGGAATTGCCATTTTTTTCTTTTTTTTCAAACTGGCAAGTAAACATCAGGAGCTCTTCCTGTCATCAAGCTGAGTGATGTTTCTTTCCTGGGACTAGCAATGGCTTTTAGCTTTGATTCCTGGTCATCACAACAACAGCCACAATGAACACAGTATCACGTCTGGACCTTCTTTTCTGGACAAAAGAGGCAAAGATACTCTTGCATTTTTGACAGTCAATTCATGAGGGTTATTGCAACATGAGAGGCTTCGCATTTTTGTAAAAAAAGGAAATGTATTTAAAAAGTGGTACGGGGTTAGAGGGAGTACAGCTAATGGTAGGTAGGATTACAGAGGAAGAGGAGTTTGATTTTTTTAATGTATTAATATTTGCAGATGTGAAAAGTCAAATAAATTGGGACTCAATTTGAGCGTTAATAGAGAAATGAATTTCTTGAGATTCTTTGATTTGATTACCATGCCCTTTTACCTTCCTAGTGCCTAGAAAAGTTTGCATTATTTGCATATGCCATCCAAATTATTTATTAAGTGAAACAAATCCAATTTCTACCATTATCTGTTCATATACAAGTTATCTTCACATTTTAAAACTAAGAAAAATTCCCTCTGATTTTTGAGGGGTTCAGTGCTATGGTCTTAGTATTTGTGACCTCTTCAACTCCTATGTTGAAAGTCATGCCCCCAAGGAGACAGTACTTCTGTTGTCAACAACTTTATGGACTCCTTTACGTAACAGTATTGTAAGATCACGGTATTTAATTCTGTTATAGCATACATTAAATTTTCAATCTACGCGTCCCATAATTGGAAATGAAGAAATGTCATCTTTCAATGTACAAACAGTTATAAACACTATACTGTTAACAGCACAAACACTGCACACCTACTCATCATCTTCTAATTGCTTTCCCAGGGTGTGGACACTAATAGCTCACATATGCTGTTGACTATCATGTTAATTATCTTAAAGTCCAAGTGAAGGTGTTAGGGGTGGGGCAGGACACAAAACAGCATACTTCATTTTGATGTGCGTTCTGAAGGGACTGGAGGCCACCCAAAAGGTGGCTTCACTCACTCACTCACGTATGAACACTTTTTTGTTCTCAGGGTCCACATTCAAGGGTCCCTCTGGCTAACAATGTATAGAAGAATCCAGTCTGCGATGCTGAATTTTACATACCCACTTGGCTGGGCTGTGGCACTCAGATGTGTGGATAAACACCATCCTAGATGTGTCTGTGAGAGTGATTTTAGATGTGATTAACGTTTACACTGGTGAGCTCTGAGGAAATCAGATTGCACTCTAACATGTGAGTGAGACTCAGCCAGGTAACGAAAGGCCTAAACGGAGCAAAGACCAGCGTGCCCGCTCCCTCCCCTGCGAGGGTGTCCACCTCTAGATGCCTGGAGACTAGAGTGGCACTGCTCCCAGGTCTCTACTGTGGCACTAGCACCCCTTCCGATTGTGGTCTAAGCCTCCATCATCATGCAAATCAGTTCCTTCAAATTATTTCTCTCTCCCTCTTTGTCTGTGTCTCCAACACACACACACACACACACACACACACACACACACACACACATGCGCGCACCTGTGCAAGCATGCTCCCCCCCCCCACCAACTTAACTAACACACAACCTGATTTGAAAATCAGAACAAAGAATGTCAGGCATATGATGTCCCTTGAAATTTGTCTACATTATCACGGTTTTCCTTGGCTATGCAACGTTATCATTCTTTCTTAGACACTTCACTTTAGGGAATATTTACCAGTTTTTGTGCTTTAGTAAAGTCTATTAAAATGAAAAAGAAATTTGAAAGCTGAGTAATCCTAAATTTTAAAAATACCTCAAGCCAACTATACATCTAAGCCTTCTCTTCCCATATCTAGTCTGCATGCTTGAAACTGAATGCTACAATACAATATGCTCCTACTCCCCCAAATGTAAAGATAATCCTGATACTCTGAAGTATATGCACTGAATCATGATTTGAGGAATTTACTTGGTTCTTTTTTGTGTTATGATACATAACTACAAGAAAAATTGGTACAATACTCCCCAAGAACACCGCTCTTTTTGCTAAGAGCAGCACCTGTTTTCAAAGCTCAAACATGGGCCAAGGTCTCACATCCCAGGTAGCAGCAATGTAAGTCAGAGGACATCACACAGAAACAAGGAGAGATGCAGGGAGACAGCCCAGTCACTGCGAAGGCCAAGGCAGCCATAGGGGGGACAGCGGCCTGGCTGTGACACTTTCTTTCTGATCCCACAGCATGGCCTGCTCCACAGGGGCAGAGGGTAGTAGGAGTCTGCAGCTTATTGTCAAGGTATTCACTAACAAAATACAGAGGCAGTTTAGAATAACAAGCCTTTTAAATTCCTTTTATAACATTTAACAAACAACAGGCTGAAGTGTGGCCCCCAAATGAACATGCTATATCTTCAACCCTGATATAATTTTATCTCGCGACCAGGCTTAGGAAAAGGAAATGATGATAAACCAACGATCACTTGCTCTGTCTCTGTCTCTTCCACTCTGCACCCAGACACAGAGGAAAGGCGATGAGGACACAGCAAAAACGCAGGTTCAAGCCACAAAGGAAATCCTCATCAGAAGCTAACTTTGTCAGGCCTTATCTTGCCACTCGAGCCTTCAAAGCTCTGTCATAATCTCGCTGCTGCAGCACGCAGTGTGTGGTGTTTTGGGAAGGCAGTCCCAACTGACTAACACATAAAGCATAGGATCGCATATGCGCTCAGGTATGTGCAATCTGCCACGCCTATGCCTTTATGAGACGGGGCTGTTGGGGAAAGGCCTTGCCTGTGCCAGCCCTTGCTGAATTCCTGAAGGGCTGTACGTGCCCCAGCATTTAGCCACTCCAGTTCCTAATCCTGTATGAGCTACTACAGTGTGTGATAATTCTTTTGTTGTTTTGAGACACAGTCTTACTACGTAGCCCAGGCTGGCCTTGAACTTGCAGCAGTTCTCCAGCCTCAGCCTCCCAAGTGCTGGGATGACAGCTGTGCACCAGCTTGCCCATCCCTGCTGATTCACAGGCAAGTCATTATGTGGCTTAGAGTTTTATAGCCTTCTTTGTAAAACGGCACCATTATCCGGGAAGATAACAGTAAATTCAACAGTTCCAGTGGTGAAAAGCTACACTGGTCTAAAGGTGATAAAGTCAGTGTTTTTCAGTTGTGGAAAATAAGGGTACGGATGCCTGCTACTTTATGTTTTTCAGAACTTTTGATTTAGCACTTGTATCGCTCTGCAGTTGGGGCTTGTCATTCTACCATTATCGAGTCCCAGGAAATCAGAGTGCATCTTAGACACATGAAGCTAATGCTCTACCACGCCTCCTCTTCACAGCACTTCACCTTGGGATCCCTAGAGGCTTTCCAGCATTAAATGCGAGCTGCCTGTACTCAAGGGCAACGCTGTAAACAAATGCTTTTCAGACTTTCAGCAAGGATGGCAGGTGAAGCACAGGTAAGACAACAATGGCAAACAGTGTGAAAACGCCGAGGGTAAGCCATCACATTATCGCACTGACATGCCACCTTGTGAGTCCGAACTCCTTCCCTTCTGAAGCAGAGCTCCAGCTGGTGTCCTGCGGGGGAGACCACGAAAAGAAGGTGTTTTGGGGATTAACTTCTCACCATTTAGAGAGCATGGAGAAGTAGCTTGTTGTACTTTTTGGAGAGCTGATGGCATTTTTGAATCTTGCTCCTCTGAGCCAATCTCTGAGACACCAAGGGTGTGACAGAGGACAGTAGGCCTGCCTGTGGCCCTCTGTGGAGAGAGCAACAAACAGGCTCGCTTTGGGCTATTTTGGCCTCTTTCCTCAGAGGACTCCTAGGGGCAAAACATCCGAGTACAGCACTGAAATGGATTTTGTGATGCTTTTCCATGGCTTCCCTATTCTAACATCAAGGTCAACTGCCTCAGAAGGAAGAAAAGACACGTGGGACCTTTGAACAAGATGCTATGTACCTAGGAATATAAAAAAGATGACATGAACTAGAACTACAAAAAATTTAGTTCAGCCTACTGCAGAGACACAGATTCTGCAAAGTGCCGCCATTGTATAAAGAAAAAGCCGCAGAAAAGAGGACTTAAGCCATGTGAGGTTTTTTTTTTTTTTTCCCCCAGCTATACCAACCTGTGGGCTGTGTTATCAGAGCCACTGCTACAGGTCAGGAATTCTTCTAAACATCGGCCACTTCTCATGGAATAAAGAAAGACGCCTTTTCCTTGTAGGTGTTACTTTAAATTTTGTCAATACTGCTGCCTTTTTAAGGGGCTGTTTAAAATGTCATTGAATTCAGTATAGCTCTTCTCTCCTTAGTAATTCTCTCACAGAACAAAGAAATAATTCCCTTATGGTTGTGTCACAAAATTTTCACATTAAAGGCTATCCTCACTTCCTCTCTGTAATTAAATACTTTTCCGATGGCTTTTCTCTACAGAAAATTGCCCTTTTTCCATTAGTATCAGAATTTCCTTTGATAATCTCCCACCGCATTTCCTATCTTGGGGGGCCTGAAGGTCACATCCTTGTCCGCAGTGGAGAGCAGGGGTCTTCCATTTGCCTGCTCCCCTCTGGTCACAGCAAGGAAGCATCACCCTCTGCCTGGCACCCGGAGAGAAAGCCTGAGGAGAGGGCAGAGGGGAGCAGGAGGCACAGGGGAGACAGACAGTGTTGGGGCTCGGCCTCCTGTACACTGAGCAGCACATCATACGGATCAGCGTGGCGCTCGTCAGTTTTACCTTCCGGGTTTTGTGTGGGTTTCTCATTCGGGACGACTTCTTAATGTCCACTTCCGTAGTATTTACACATCCGGGCTGGAAATGGAAAAACAGAGAGACAAAGGGATCTTTTGGTGAGGAGGTTCTGAGCAGGACATTCATTAGTGACTCTTCCTTGTAAGGACATAATCACAGGCAGGGCTTTCTTGGTGGCAATAGCCACTTCTACCAGCTGTAGGAGAATGCCCGGCACCTGGCCTCATTCCTCTCTGTAAGCAGTCTCATCAACAAGGTTCTAGACCCCAGATTCCTCTGCAAAAACCATCTTACACAGCAACTGGCAAGGGCTGAGGAAAATGGCAGTATGATCATGTGTCCAAAAGTGACCATTGACTACAACAACAATGTAAATTACGACAGCACACAGAGAATGTGCATCAGAACTCGTCAAATAGGTTTCTGGGAAAACAGACCAACTATAAATAGCCCAGGGACTTTGTTTTCTTTATACATCTAGGTCTCAATTAATTGAACTCTGAAACTCTTTCCATAAAAAGCTAGGATTCTAAATCAATTTGACTTTAGACCAATTGGAGTAATTAATAAATGGCCTCAGAAATTGTATCAACCATTGAAAGCAGAAAAAGGTTTCCCTCAGGAACATATCTCAGTGGCAGTCCAAAAGAGAATTAAAATTTTCATCCTCTAATTTCAAAGAATATGACCTTTTAAGTTTGATTAATGAACCATTAGCAGACATCTAAAATTCTTTCTTGAGCCAATTATTAATACCAATAACCAACAAATTAATAAGAAAACACCAATTATAAAAACAAATATCATTAGAGACTGAACTACTGGATACATTTTGTGACCCAGAGTCCATCCCAAGAAAATAAAATCTACCAGTTCAAAATATATCACTAATGATGAAATGATTAAAATTATAGACTGATAAGCAGGACCCAGAGTGTCTGTCCATATGGAGTCCTGTCATTTCCAAAGGGACTCCTGAGACAATTGATACTTAAACAGATCTATGATAGCTAAGTTACGTAGGGGATCTGGGAAGATTAAAAAGGCCTATCTGCTCACATTTGTCCAGGATTCTTCTCAGTAGTTAAGGACATGATTGAAAAACACTGAAGAGCTTCTTTCAGAAACCAGGAACTGTGTGAGTGAAATATGACAAGGTTTTTGCACTCTTTTATTTATTGAAGAAATATTTCTTTCCACATCTAATTAAGTGTGAGGTCTTATGATGAATGGTGAAATAGAGAAGTGGAGACATAATTCATTCCTTAATAACTTCTCAAGACGAGACCGATGGCAAGAGGAATCCCAACGGGGAGCAAAACGATGAGGGAGAAGACGACGCAGGACATCACACGGCGGAACACTCAGGCTGCCCGTCCTAGGTCCGTCCTTTTGGCTTCCTCCCACAGGAATTGTGCATACTTTTACAATTTTGTTTTAAAGCAATTTTAAAAAATCTCAATAAATCCATGTTTTCCTTTGTTGTTAAAATAAGTCAATTGTGTTTCTGAAGCATATATAACAGATACCACTAGCTGGCACCAGATCAGCATGAAACATTATGCATAAATTGATTTTCTGCACAGCTAGATATATATCACCAGTAAGACCCAATTAACACTATCGTTACCAAGCAGGCACTCCATACACATGTTCAGATATGTATATCTGCTGAAAATAGTGTTACGTACAGAGTATTGTCAGAGTTAAGGAATAATAAAGTACTACTTACATTGGCCTAAAATGGAATCATAAGTCATTTGTAGTTATTCAAAGGTGAATTGAAAAAGCAAACTGTTGTAACATTATTTTAATATTATTAAGGAGAAGAGATTAATATTGTGGGACCCAGTCCTGAAGGAAAACAGGAGGATATCACTGAGAGCTATTACTGCCACAGGGTTTCTGAGTCTCAGTGAAGATGGCATTCTTCATTCCATTCGTGATATTTCATTGAGGAAAAGCCAAGTGCCATTTCGGTCCTTCCAGTTCTGTGTGTGGGGCGGGGGGTGAAAGGTGTTATGCGGGCTTTCATTGTTTACACTAAGTACCGCTCTGTCACGGAGCTACACCACAACCCACAGAATCTGTTCGCGTCCACCAACTGTAACAAGGGGCACTTGTGCAGCACCACTCCGGACAGCCTCAGGGGCTGAGCAGCAGGAATGGGGTCAGCACTCCTAAGTTCCATGGCTGATGCTGATAACGTCCTCAATAACAGCTGACTAGAGGAGATGTGGATGCTCTTGTAATTTAGAAAAATCACAATTTTGTGGGAAAATTAAGATTGTAAGCACATATAGATGTATATGATTATTGGTTCAAACAGAATTATATTAATGAAAAATATATATGCTGGAATAATATAGCACAAGTTTTAAAAATTTGATGTATCCTATATTATGCTTCAATTAAAAATGATTCTAGATTTAAAAAGTGTTCAGTCTCGGGATGTTTTCTGTGACCCATTTTAAGATTTTCTTTATGTTCTCAGGCAACTGCCCATTAATTCAGCCTCTGGCCCCTTCAATTCTCTGAGCCCACCCCTATCCGCACAGTGGAAGGCAGGCATTTGAGTCAGTTACCCCAAATTCCTTCTATTCCAGTTCTATAGGATTTGCTCATTTGACTGCTACTCAATCTCATTAGCTGGTGCATCACTGGGAGTGGTGGACGCGGCGCGGACCTAAAAGACAGGGGCGAGGAAGCATGGGGCTCCCACCAGAGGGAAGCCTTCACGTGAAGTCAGCTTGGTGCCCAGGCAGAGGGGTCAGGTTAGGCAGAGGTCACAGACCATGGTACAGAACTCCATGGGGCTGGCCAGATAGCTCAGCAGAACAAAGCCCCTGCTTAGGCAGATGCCCCATGCTGAGACAGCGATTGAGACTGGGTGTGGTGGCACATGCCTGTAATCCAAGCACTTGGGAGGCTGAAAACAGGAATATCT